CTGCACTCCAGTCTGGGCGACAGAGTGAGACTCCAACTCAAAAAAAAAAAATTTTTTTTGGACTGGGCTCAGTGGCTCAGCCTGGGTTTGAGACCCACCCGGGCAACTTGGCAAGACCTCATCTCTACAATAAATCCAAAATTATCTGGGTGTGGTAGCGTGCACCTGTAGTTCCAGCTACTTGGAAGGCTGAGGCGGAAGGATCGCCGGAGCCCAGCAGGTCGAGGCTGCAATGGCCGGGAGCGGCCACTGCACTCCAGTCTAGGTGACAGAGTGAAACTCCAACTCAAAAAAAAAAAAATTTTTTTTCAAGCAAAAAATATTTTATTGGAAATAAATATTTTTCTGTCAAAAAATTGTGTTGTTTAAAACTTTGTGGTGTCTTTTGAATTTTATGAATCAGTTGTCCAAGATGTATCAGTTATAGACTTATATACTTTAATAAAGTTGTATATAAAATTGATGTTAACTCTATCTTTAAATGTTTTTCTCAATGTCCTTTAACTTTAGGGAAGAAGTCACTTAGAAACTTGCATTTATTAAGAAAAACATCTAAAACTTAGAAGTAAAGGAGAGGATGACTGCATACCTTTCAATATCATATGGGAATGTAGTCCAACACCCCAGAATTCCTTAAATCTGTAGGGGAATGTACTTCTGATTGATGTTCTGTTTACTATTGATCAGACTCCAGATGTTGTGACTTTACATATTAACTTGTAAATTTTAGTCTAGCACAGACATAATTGATTTCTGTTCATTATAATAGATTACCCCTAAGATTCCAGTTTCATTATTGCCCTATACACAGTATATGAATGTGTGCATTAATTTAACAAACTTACTTCAGAATGTTATCTCCAATTGACCATATATATCTGTTTCTCATATGATCTTTGAATTATTTTGAGTTCCCTCACTAATGAATTAGGTACATCATTGACACATTCGATTTAAATGTGAATGGGTCACGTTCTTAGCTTTTAAAAAAGTAATATTATGATGTCTCTTATTTGAAAGACATCACTTACCCAAAGTTCAGTAATTCCTTCAGTTTCTTTTTCCTCTTAAAATTTAAGTAAAGTAAGTTAGATACTCTTTATTGGATGCATTGCTTTAAAATCTGAACAAAATAATATTTAAGAAAATAATAATTCAGGACGAGAGACTCCCAGAAGACACTTGGGGCAAGAGAGTTGGAGGTGGGTTGACTGGCAACTTGTGTTTAGCAACTTTAATTCCTCCCAGGTCCTAGGTCACTGGGTCCAGCTTCAGGTTCTTCATGCATTCCTGAACTCCCACATTACTGGGGTTGGCACAGACACGTTGCCCCTTTCTGGTCAGAAAGCTGAGGAATAAGGGGTAGAAAGATTACAAGCTGATGTGTGTTCAGCACATGGAGATGGGGAGCCCCATCCTCCCCACCCCTCAGATTCCCCACTCAACACAGTCTGTTGTTTCCATTCTCTGCTGATGGCAGCTCAGGGTCAGTGTCCCCTTGAAACCCTACCTCAGCCTGTGAGACTCCCTAGTGACTCATGGGAGTGTTCTTGGGCAGCCTTGTGCCTGCTCAGGCCTTCCTTCCCTGCCCTTCTGTCCGCTGGGAGTGTCTCATCCCTGATGCCCTGTGCAGGATCCTAGCAAGTACGCAAGCTGCCCCTTGCCTGGCACGAAACCGGGGGTGGGACATTTCTGGACCCCCATCTGTCAAGTCCTCCCTGCAAGACCCTGCAGTCTCCCTCTCCCCAACATGTGGTCTATGAACTTGGCACTTACATGACACCTGGCTGGGAGCACCCACTGCTTGTTTCAAAATAGTCTGTCATGAAAAAACACCGGATGCTTCGTGGGGTATAGGAGAGGCAGCAGTCAGCAGGACGGTGAAAGCCTGCAGCAAGAGAAAGTGTCATTGAAGGGCCTAGTCTTTTTCCTCAAGAGTACTATGGAGATTTACAAGGCTTAAGATTTGAAAGAAATGTTTTCTTCTCCTCAGACAATATTTTCAGACCCTCCCTAGACACTAGGCCCAGCCCAGCTCAAAGGGTGGGCCACAACAGGGCAGGGGCATTTCCCCAGAAGAGGAAGGCATCTGCAGACATCTTCAGGCATCAGAGAGCACCCTCTGTCCCAAGAGAGCAGCCTCTTGGGACAAGCAGGGGGAACAGAGAAGGGATCTGTGGAGGAGGTCCCCATGGCCTGTCCTCATCTTCCTTGGGTGTGTTCACCACCCCCAGGACCTTCTTGTTCTCCTCCCATTCTGTAAACAGGGTGGATGAAAGCCATGGTGCCGACCTGTACCTGCCAGCTGCTTTCAGGTATACATCAGATCTGATCATTTACCTTCATTAATTATTGGAGGCTCATGTTGAAGACTTGGTATCATGAGTTCTGTTGCCTCTTTATCTGGAAGAAACAGACAGGGTGGGGAGAGAGATCACTAGGAGGCAGCATTGTCTCAGTGTCTCCAGCCACCGACCTACCCACCTCATTCCTCATGCCCAGTCTGAGGCAGAGAGGCTCAGAGGCTGGGCCATTGCCACCTGTCAGGGTTCAAGGTTTACCTACTGGCCCATTTTTTTTCCATTAAGACCCCGAAATTTTCAGGAACCTTTTGGAAATGTTTAGACGTGAAAGTGTTCTCTTGATTCTGGAATACTAAAAGCAAACTGCAAATCTAACATGGCTAAGGTACTCAAATGCCTATGTAATGTGACATAGTTCACAATTATTTCTACACATTTCTGGAATCCACAGGACTCAGGACACAGAATGTTTTTCATCAGCTCATATGTTTGGCACAGTGTCACCTCAAGTGAGGCTATTTACAATCTTTATGTATCCCATTTAGTATAAATAATCCATATGTTTGTTGCAGACATGTTGTGTTTGATTAAAGTATTCTTCCCAGATCTCACCAGGTATAAGTACCATCCAGGTATGTACTATCTTTTAAAAATTTATTTTAAAAAATTTTGGTAAAAAATATATATAAACATAAAATTTGCTATTTAAACAATTTTAAGTATATAGTTTAGTAGCAGCATATATACTCACACTCTCTAGCTATTAAACATTAATTCCTCATTCTCCCTTCCCCCAGGCCCTGGCAATAACCATTCTACTTTCTGTCTCTATGAATTAGACTACTCTAAGTACCTCATATGAGTGGAACCACATAGTATTTGTCTTTTTGTGTCTGGCTTATTTCACTTAGCATAATGTCCTCAGTGTTCATCCATGTAGTAGCATGTATCAGAATTTCCTTCCTTTCCAAGACCAAATAATCCATTTTCTCTCTCTCTCTCTGTCTTTCACTTGGAGTCTCACTCTGTTGTCGAGGCTGGAGGGTCAGTGGCATGATCATGGCTCACTATAGCCTTGTACACCTCAGCTCAAGCAATCTTACCACCTCATTCTCCTGAGTGTCTTGGACTACACCTGGTCAATTTTTAAAATTTTTTTGTAGAGAAAAGGTCTTGCTATGTTGTCTAGGCTGGTCTCGACCACCTGGGCTCAAGTAATTCTCCTACCTTAGCACCTAAAGTGCTGGGATTACAGGCTTGAGTTACCATGCCTGGTAGGGCAAATAATTTTCTGTTGTATGAATGAACCCATTTTGTTTATTCACTCATCTGTTGATGGGCACTTGACATGCCTTCATCCTTTGGCTATTGTGAATAATGCTGTTGTGAACATGAGTGTACAAAAGTCTCTTCATGTACCTCCTTTGAATTTCTTTTGGCATATGCCAGAAATGAAATTACTGGATCATATCATATTAACTTTTTAAAACCTAAAATCCTGCATTTCAAAGTTCATCTAGCACCAAAGAGTTTGGATAAGAGATTGTGAACGTGCATTATGCTAATTTGACATATGAAACGTGCATTATGCTAATTTGACATATGAAATGAAATGACATTTTTAACTTTTTTTAACCTCCTGTCTTTCTTACTTAAAAACATCTCCAAAAGATTATTTCCACAATTGACAGTCACAAAATAAAGACAGCTTTAAAGTCTGTATTTACTTTTCATATTGAAACATGAAGACTCTAGCAATAAGGATTCAGGTGCCAGCTTAGCCCAATGATTGCTTTCTATTGTTTTCAACTTATTTCTTATATAGTTACATGAGAATTATATTTAATGCAGCATGTAGGTATACCTTAATATGCTCAAATGGTTTGAGTGAAGCTTGCAAAATGAAAAAATATCTTAAATGGCCTTCTCTTTCCATAACTACTTCTTAACTAGCCCATTTCCTAACTCTACCACTTACTAACTATGTGATATTAATCAAGTTATCTAAGGTTTTTATGCCTCAGTTTTTTGTAAAATGAGAATAATAATCATAATATAGAAAACTCTGTAGACTGATTTTTTCCCTACAAAGGTGGCAAGATCACATTGTTTAACTTAATACTTATTCCATGAGGTTGTTAGGGGAAATTAACATGGTAATATCTATAAGACACTTACAGCAGGGTCTGCCCTGAACATAAGAAGTACTAGATATGTATTTGCTAAATAAAAACATAGGATAGTTTGGTGACCTTGTTTGAGTCACTTGCCTGACTGGTTCCATTTCCTCTCCATAATGATTTTATAGATTATACTAGATGGTATATAATAGTTCTAACATCATAGACTTGCATGCTTCTTTCTACAAATTCACAATTTTACTACAGTTCTTTTGCTTTAGTATTTAATGGTCCTATATTAGTTAAGGGAAAGTATCAAATAATTCTGGCCATGAAAAGGGAAACTATTGGTCCCAGGGACCAGTCATCTTTGTGTATTTTCTCCCAGGGAAGAAGACTGCAGACAGAACCAGGTCTATACCCTGCTGCTGCTTTTAAATAAGTGTCATACCCATGTCTGGGTTGGAGAGTAGTCACGGGAGGACAATGGTGTCCCTCTGTATCTCCTCAGGACATGAGTGATCATGGACCAGGCCATCTGTGAGAAGATTCACTGGACTTACCATGTATGACCCGGGCCTGGGATCCAAGGGCAGCAGCAAGGATGAGGAAGGAGAGGACACCTGTGGAGATTTTCATCCTCCTGGTGGGCAGTCAGAGCTGGCCTGAGGATTCCTGGGTTTACTTCCTCCTGACTTGCCAGAACCCCAACCCTGCCCTTGTATTTATAAGAAAAGAATCAGGAAGTCCCAGGGCAGAGATGAGAATGCTATTTTCTGGTTATTTCTTAAAAGGGGAACATGACTGAGAATGCAAGAAATATAGGGCAAAGATGACTTAGATTGCCCTATAGACTTCCTGAATTGTGTAAATGGCCACAAAGAGAGTAAATATTTTCAGAAGGATCCTTCTATTACAGACTGACAAGAGGTCATTTTGTTTATATTAGAACAGTAATTAAAAAAAAAAGACTTAGAAAATTGTATTGAGAAACTTTCTTTGTAGCTGAATTGGGCTAAATGTAGAAATCGCTTGAATTTAAAAGAACATACTTCCCCCCCCCCCCCACTGCCCTTAGATCTAGTAACCATTGCTGGTCCTGAAGGGAACACAACCATCTGCACTGAGCCCCCTGATAAGCAGGAGACACAAGAAACTGCATGTCCTTGGAGGAGCCTCTAATGGACCTAGATAAGAAATGGTCTTTGCTGAAACTCCATAAAACCCAGGAATGTATCTATTCCCTTAGTCTTTAGATGACAACTGCTTTAGATGACAACTTCCCTTTTCATGGCCAGAATTATTTGATTCATGTCTTTGTATTATATTAAATTTTTATATAGTGTTTAAGCCTTATGAGCCAAAATTCTCAGAATAAAAGACTGTAATCATCTGGAAATCAAGCAGTCCTAAATTGCTCAGGAAAAATTTTTAACTTAAAAGAAGAGTAAGATTGATGTGATCTGAGTACCAGGCTGTGTCAGTAACTGTTTGGGGTCTAAACACTAATTGAGAAAAAACTGAGTAATGGTCACAAGGCATGTAGCCATTTTTAATAACTAGTTGAAAAATATAAGAAGTTATATATTTTGTTATAAATACTGGATGAGAACTTTGCCTAAACCAAAGGCTCTTGGGGGGTACACAAGCCTGTTCCCTAATTTTTTGGTTTCAAAATAAAACTCCCTTCTTCTCCTAGCTCTCTGCCTCTCAGATTTAATTGACCATGAGGGAAGAGGCTGATTGTTAGATTGAACCATAAAACTTCCCACTGGGAGATTTATTCTTTCTCTGTGTTGGAGGAGTTTATTTTCCCTAGAAGTTAACCACCTTCAGGTGCCCAAATAACCTATAGACATGTGGAACACCAGAGAGAACACTCATTTAAACTTAGTCATGTGATTCCTTGCACGGTGTCTGGAGATACCCTTGACTCCTCTGTTTGTCTCATACCCCATATCTAGTTCATTAATAAGTACTTTTGGCTCTACCTCCAAAAATATAGGCAGAATCTTACTGTTTCTTGAAAGGAAATCTCCTGTTTCTTCTCTACTCTACCACTATTCTCAATACCTCACTTCTGACACTATTTACCTGGAGTTAGCACAGACCCCACAGGTTAAGGGCTCAGTCTTACCAGGCTGCTTCCACTTCAGATGCCAATCACAAATAGTGGGTTCCCAGGTTACCTACTTCCATTGGACTCAGCTACAAATCAGAGGGTCTCATGACTCCCTCCCCAGGTTTGGTAATTTGCTCACAGAACTCACAGAACGGATCACAGAACTCAGCAAAGCAGTTTATTGACTAGATCACCAGTTTATTATAAAGGATACAACTCAGAAACAGCCAGATCAAAGCGATGCAGAGGGCGAGGGATGAGGGAGAGGCACAGAGGTTCCATCCTCTCTCCAGGTGAACCTCTCAGTACCTCCACAGGTTCACCAGCCTGGAAGCTCTCTGAACCCCATCCTTTTGGTTTTTTATGGAGGCTTCATTATATAAGCATGATTGAGTAAATCATAGACAATTTGTGATCAAGTCAATCTTCAGCCCTCCTCCCCTCCCAGGGAGGTGGGGCTGAAAGTCCCAGTACTCTAATGGTTGGTTCCCCTGGCAACCAGCCCTCATCCTTAGAGCTTTCCAAAATTCACCTCATGAACATGAACTCAGGTGTGGTAGGAAGCATTTTTCCAATACTCCCAGGTTGCACATGTCTGAGTATTGAGCACGTTCCCTTAGGCTTCTTATATCTCAGCATCAGACAATCCCCAATACAGGAAAAGAGGGGTATGCATGATGGCCACCATAAGGTGCTGTCAGATTACACCTCCACAAAATTGGGCAAAGCCTGTGCACAGCTGGGTGCATGGTGGTGGCTGGAGGAAGAGAAGGGCTGATAGCATGGAAGTGGTGTACAGAGGTGTCCAACATGGTAATAAATGCACATTTGCTCAGTGAAAAAAATGAAGGAACAAATTTCACAATATTCACCAATCAATTTGTTGATTTCACTACATATTGGCATTTCTTGACCTCTCCAATATGTGGTAGAAAACATTTTGTGAATGGTTTTTGTGTGCTTCCTGAGTCTTTTATTACTCTCATGTGCCCCACTACCAAGAATCCTTGATCTGATTTAAGAATCAGATCAGCTCTATTTTTTACTTAGCTTGGCATAACAACCCCCGCTACTCTGCAGAGCTGCTCCAGCTTCAGTGGCCTTAGGAGGCGAATCATAACAACAGTCAATGCTTATTTAGCACTTTACATATTCCAGAAACTGTGCTATGAGCCTTGTCGGCATCATTTCACAGCTGTCTCATGAGGTTTTTACTGTAATTGTTTTACAATATTGCCTAGCACACCCTACAACTTCTTCCTTTAGAGGAACATTAAATGTCTTATCATCTATGCCTATAGACACAGCTCTTACCACATCCCATGATGTATACTTGCACAGCATGTTTGTTTAGCATAAGTTGAGCTACACTATGATATCACAAGGGGAGTGTAGGGCAGGGAGCAGCACATTTGAGCATAAATCTCCCCTCATTGGGGTGGCCCACCTTCTTTCTCAGTCTTGCACTTTATCTATGGACATTTTCTGCTGTTACTTTCAATTTCACCTCCCACTCCTTTCTCATTAGCCCATGCATTGTGTGTCTGTCCCTGACTGGTCATGAAGCCTTAGAATGTCTGCCCCAAGCACAACTTCCTTCAGAGGAAAGAGGCCCAACATTGTAACTCCCCCCTGTGTAGGGATTGCTCCTCCTTGAGTTTCCAAGTAAAACCATCGCAGATGCCTGGTCTCACTGATGGAGCAGGGTTGTACAAAGTTCGTCACCTGTGTAGGGAGGGGTGGAGCATAAGTCAAGTCAGCTGTCTCTGAACTAATTTAGCTGATCTCTTCCCACTAGGTGTTTTCTACATTAAACGGTGGCAAAGCAGCAAAATACAATTTTTTTTAGTTGTGAAGCAGATATGCCTGGTGAACAAAGAAGGTCCCACGAACTCAGATTGTTGTCCCAAACACAGGGGAGGGAGTGCTTTAGCTCTCTCTCAGGCTAGCTGCACATCCCATTGGGAAAGTCAGCCACGTGTATGCAGTCTTTGGATAGCTACGTGAAAGTAACCTTTTTAAAGAATATAAAATTACAACTAGATAGGAGGAGTAAGTTATAGTGTTAGATACCACTTTTGGATAACTATAGTTAATGATAACGCATAGTTCCAAATAGCTAGAAGGAGGATATTGAATGTTTGCAACACAAAGAAATGACGTTTGAGATGATGGATATGCTAATTACCCTGATGTGGTCACTATACTTTATATGTGTCAAAATATCATTGTGTACACCATAAATAGTTACAATTATTATGTGTCAATTAAAAAAAGAGTGGCCTAGGATCTGGAATACTTCTTTACCAAGAGATAAAGAGCCCTCACAGCCTGTGCTGCATTCATAGCCTTGCATGGGACTGTCTTTCTCTGAGTATGTGCCTTGGTTCTGTTTAAGCATATGTGTCATATGACACTTGGCCAATCCCACTGCTATATTCATTACAGGTGAGAAGGGAATGGGGTCCTTCGCCTACAGCACAAGTGTGGTACATATAAACTATTGCCTTCTACCAGATCACTATTGAAGCCGACCCTGCCCTGTCTCTTCTCTATGTGAGTAATGTGCTGGTCCACCCAATGCCTGTGTAAGTTCTGTCTTTTTTGATGACCCTGACACCTGCAGACCATGCAGCGGATTGACATCCTGGAACTGCTACTCCTGGTGGTGGATAACAGGTGTCAATTGTTTGATGCAGCCCAATTCTCAAAGCACCAGGACTGGTACTATTTTAAGACCCAGGCAAAAGGTGACCCTGTCCTGGGCCCCCTATTTTAGAGAACGCATCATATCACAAACACACACAAAACACATTTATCAGGGAGCACACAAGCCCCTGTATCTCTTGGGATGTGGAGTCAGTGCTGGTCCAACAGGGCTCATCACTGTAAACATTCACTCTTTGGATGAACACTCTTCATGCCTTAAGGAAAAATGCTTCTCCGCCCCCTCACCCCCACTGCCCTATGTCCTTCAAATGAAACACACCTGAGTACAAATGCTGTGAAGTTTCCTGGGAAGTGCCACTCCTGACACTGGAGAGAGACACTTTTCTGGGCTTCAGGGAGCAGTTGAGCAGCAGAAGTATTTAGAAGCTTGGGAAGATAAGTCAGTTAACTTGCCAAACTCCTTCCTCTCGGATAGCACAAATGCAATACTGTCAGTCCCCCTTAGCCATGGTTTCCTTTTCCACGATTTCAGTTTTTCATTGTTAACCATGGCTCCCAAAACATTTCCATGATTTCAGTTTTCCACTGTCAATCACGTCCCTAAAAACATTTGATGGAAAATTTCAGAAATAAGCAATTCACATTTTAAACTGCACGCCATTCTGAGTAGCATGATGAAATCTCACACCATCCTGCTCTGATCTCCCAGAACCCGAATCATTATTCCTTTTTACAGTATATTCACACTGTATATGCTACCCACCTGATAATCCTTTAGTAGCCATCTTGGTTATCAGATTGACTGTTGTGATATAGAAGTACTTGTGTTCAAGTAATTCTTATTTTTC